GGGTGTGTCTCCTCACTGGGTGTAGCTGGGTGGTAGGGACTCTGTCCTTTTATCATAGTAAATTCTGTTTTCTTTCAGCTTTCTATTGACGTACGTACTAAAATTATACGCTCAAAAAAGAAGTTTGAAAAACACCCAGTGTCTGATTGAAACCCACAAGAGGCAGGAAGGGAGCCCAGGTTAATAACTCCCTCCACTATTATAACTTTCAAACGCGATTATGACTAGGTATTGCAACACGTACTGCATGCCAGATAGCAAATATTACTTCATATCTTGGCACGCCACATCTCACCTGGCCAAGGCGCACACACGCTAAAGATCAGAACCAACGTTAGCTATTGTGGGAGATGGGCAGGGTGGGCAGGAGGCTTTTGCTGCCTGGGCGGTAAGCAGGAGATTACCCACACATGGATCAATAGTATATGGAAAAAAGGAACTTTGGGTCCAGGTTACACCACGTTTGTGCACACTTGCGTCTCAATAAAAGTGGTTAAAGGGGCAAGGCAAAGCTCTGGCTGATGCAGGAGGGTGTAACTGGGCACGGGGCACTACCGGCTGGTGACGGGGCCCTCCGGGCTGCGCGGGAGCCACAAGCACCGTTTTGTGAGCGTGCTCCTTCCCGCGGGGCTCCTGTGCTCTCCTGGGGGACTGGGGAGATGCACGGAGATCATATTGAAACCTCATTTTGCAAGACACTGCGTGGTCATGATCCATGTTTAAGCAGATGCTGTGCCAAAACCTGAAGGCATCATCCGACCGATAAGGGAAAGATGCTGTGAACGTCGGAGGGTGAGACCTTGCCATTGCAGCCATGGGATCAGGAGGGGCCGTGGGTGGGGACGAGAGTCCCACACGCATTCCAGGTATAGTCACATTTATCTGAACGTTCCTAGCCTAGAAACTACATTTAAAATCTCCCATGAATATGCTGTCTTTCAAATGCAAAGTTCCGTAGTGCTTATAGAGAAGTAGATTTTTGAACAGAAAAAGACAGAGTACAGTATAAATCTAGACACAGGAAATTACTTTAAATGTCCTATATTCCCATAGCTATACTATGGAAAATATTATATAGTCACTGTTTATGTGTATTTATAGATTGTAAAAATGTCTCTTTAGCGCTGAGTTGTGCTACTGGTACATTAGGATGGAGCCAGTATCATACTGTGTGGGTTTGCCGTCGTACTTAAAGAGTGACCCGGGAGATATTAAGGACTGCAGCTCTGCAATACACACACACGTGTGTGTATATATATACATATAATCTGTAAACATTTGGCTGTATTTAAATTTGCAAATGCAGCTGCAAGGAGGGGAAACGACTCCATCAAGTGGATCCCAGAAGCTTACAAAAATAAGGTGTCTGCCAGTTGGATCGCTAAAAGCTGCAACCTTGGAAATAAAGACTTCATCGCTGTTGCTGAAAACCCAGCCAGCCGTTGCAAGCAGCTTTGGTTAGTACACAGACTTCATCCCTTGCTCTCAGACGTGTCCCCTTGGGGTCTCCATCAGAACAGAGAGATTTCCTAGGAGAGGAAAACACAACCGTAGAGGAAAAAAAAAAGATCCCCTGCCGTCCCGGGCCTCCGTTCCTTCTGGTGGCTGTTGGTTCACACCAGCTTCTCTTTCCTCCTGTCAGCCCGCGTTTTGCTGCAGACGGAGGTATTAAATCACGAATGAACAGCTGAACGTGGAGTCAAAATGCAGGGACAAATTATTCTAAACTTTCCCCCACGGCCCTTTCTCCAGAACCATTTTGATCCTGTTTGGTAAGTCACGTTTGCTAGACCCGTGCCTATCAAGTGGTACTTTATCATCCCGGCCCTTCCTCAGCTGTATGCTGTTCTGCACTGGAAGCTGTTTTGGTTCTTCTCGAGGTTTAAAATCATCCCTAGGCCGGTTCCTCCCCATATCGTGCATCTCCCCAAAGCTCACTTTTGCTCTGGAGATATTTGCAAAGCCCAAAGTATCAACTTTTTCCCAGGGAGTCTCACCAAGTTTTACACCTGCCTCTGCTGATGCCCTTGCTCCTGAATCGCACAAAAGCCGTGTCCGTCTCGGCGCCGGTGCCTTCAGACTTTGTGCGTTTGGAAGTTGCGAAGTTTCACAGATCCCCCCTTTCGACACAGACCGGGTTTTGGAGAAGTGCTTTCTGCAAGTGATAACGCGGGCTGGCCCCGGTATCCTGCGATGAGGTTGGTGAAGCAACCCACGAGAGCTCAGCAGCTTTATGGTTCCCGGTGGCTTTCCAAAGCAGGTGATGGACTAGATGGCATAGGTTCGAAATCCTTTTTTTAACACAGTTATCAAGCAGGTGAAATTAGGTATTTCTCGGAGTGTCTGGTCCCCAAATTTATTTTTCTGTCAAGAGATCATACTTTTCTTGTAGTTTTTAATGCCAACTGTCTGCCAAGCTTTCTCTGATCAAAAGCCTTCAAGTCATTCAACGCGGTACACAAAGCTTTAGTGTTTTACTGAGCATTCATCCAGATCAGTGGCGTTGTGTAATTTCCTGGAACTAAAGCTTTTCTTGAACATTTATCTGAGGGTAAAAGGCGCTCGGAAGTCTCCTGGGTTGATGACGGCTGGAAGTGAGAAACAAATATCCCAAAGCCAAGAGCTCCGCTCAGGATCTGCAGCCAGCAGGAGCGAGGAGCAGGCGGGGATGGTCCCCGTGGTCACCCGAGGGGCTGCGCGTTCAAGGGCATCTGCGGGGAGCTTTAACAGAGCAGCTCCACTGGTCATGGCTTCTTCATTTTCACATATTTCCTTTAAGGTTTTTTTGCTATTTTTAGAATTAATTCAGTGCTCGCCAGCTGCCTTTGACTGGCAGAGAAGCTGAATGAACACTGTTTTCCACTCCCATTGTCTCTCCTATTGCTGTTCTCATACTTTTATGGCCGTGGAGTCGGTACTCTACGTACACCACCACTCACGGCCCTAGTATTATACTTTTGGCAGGAACACGTTAGGTTTTTATGGGAATTAAAAAGCATGAGTGAGAGAGAGAACCTGAACCAAAGACAACATAAAGGGCCTTATTTCTTTGGATAGAAGCCCAACAAAATTATTGAATAGCTCAAAGCAGAACAGCAAGCTCTCTCCAAGATGCTAAGCTGAGAGACACCACACTCCAGCGGTTATTTGGTGCCCCATGGAGAAAGGAAAATATTCCAAGAGGAGATTGCTGGGAGAGGGGGACGGCTGCTGCCGGTCGCACTAGGACAGTAAGTTGGAGCCTGAGTTGGAGAGCGTTTGTCCAAGACCAGCTGTGTTCGTAGCGCTCCTCTTTCCTCCCACCCCTCTGGAACACACTCGGCCTCTTCACTCCCATAGCTTTCCCGGGCTGTGTTGCCCAAGAGAAAACCACCCCCGAGAACGAATGGCCTCATCACTGGGACCTGGACCCAGGGCATCGGCTCCGGGGTGGCCCCAGCTCCGTCTGCAGGCACCGGGAGCAGAGGGTCCCGCCAGCAGCCTGGTGGCACTCGGCTCTGCCTCCTGGGCTGTGGAAGGAGATGCCAGGACCCCAAAAGATCAAAAATAGCTTTTTGAAGAAAAAGAGGACTTAAAAAGAGAGTTAAACCCGAATGTTAATTTTAAGTGGGTCCTACTGAACTTTGGCGACTGGAGCACTGCAGAGTGCGTGCGCCTTGCAGCAGCGAGGAGAGATGAGCCCGGTGCGGGACCGGAATAGCTGTGAAATTCTGAGAAGTTTGGGTTCGGTTCCAAACTTTATCACCGACCACCACTGCTGCAGCGGCCAAACCAGCGGCTTTGATGTGAAATCCCAAACTCTGCAGGCATCCGAGTCTGAACATCGAGGGCCGGTTACGTTGCCAATAACAGGCAAACTCTGTGAGCTCCGAAGTAGCAGTGCGCGCTGGGGGCCATGGAGGAGGAGTGAGGTCCTGTTCCCTTCCCCTTTGAAAATCAAGGCAAACTTCACTAGGTAGTACTGTTCTTCCCCTTGCTTGCATTACAAAGGTGGTGTTGATGAGAGTTTGGCAACTTGGGGGATTGCTAATGGCCCCAAAGTTTTTTGCATGTCTGGATTGCCGGATCACACTCAGACCAGGCTGTTTGTGGCTTCAAGGGTACTTTTGTGGCTCTTTTGTGGCTCCTGTGACACACTTCAGTGGCCAGCTAAGACTAACCTCCCATCGCTACCGCGAGCACCCCAGTTTTTCGGTAGCAGTCTCAGCAGAGGAGCCAAGCGGGGAGGAGCCGTGCCGGGTCCCATGGACTCCTGGCAGCGCTGGGCACGCTCCGGGCACGTCCCTCTGCCTGGGGCCCATCCCTGCAGCCACCCCTGCTCTCCAGGGGAATAAGCCCACACCTTCTCTGGCCGCCCCTCTGAACACGCGCCGTAGCTGGAGACCGGGAGGATGGGAAGTTGTTGCTTGTCAGCTGGGAGACGAGCATCTTCC